GAGAAAATTTGTAATCAACTGTAATCGACTGTAATCGACTTGTTCTTCGGAGTGTACTTTTTGCTTTTCGCACCCTTTCTGCAACAAAACCTTTTGCAGTTTTTTTGCATGAAACTTTGCAATAAATTCATTCTTTCCAGTGTACTTTGTGCTTTTGAAAGCGTAAGCGTAAACATGCCACTTCTAGGGCAGTAAAAATACTTTTTTTTTTCTTGCCCTAGTAAAGCTCTTGAAGTGCTCGAAAAACTCGTGCCCAAAACAAAATTTATGCTCAAAACCTTTTATGCTGTTAACAAATCCTTCTTTTCTGGATGTTTTAACAGCGTACTCTGGCGTACTAAAGCCTCAAAATCTTTATTTCTTTTGCATAACAAAGAAGCCAGTGACGGTGAAAACGAAATCGAATTCAGTGCACAAAAAGGGTGTAAAGTTTTTCGAGCACAAAGTTACACACTGGAAAGAACACTTTGGCATAATAAATTTCAACTTTTCGTTTATTTAATGACTAATTTTCAATGACTAACGTGGAAATTCCTCTACAATTTGATGATCTTTAAACTTTAAACTTTTAAACTTTAACTTTCCCAAGTTGAGCAACGTCGGCGCGGGTTAGTCGTGGGTTCGACTCCCATGGGTTCCCCTCCGAGCGCCCCAGCCCGGCCATCGGAGTATCATCGGCTACGACAACTACACTTCTGCCTCAGTAAATGTGGAAGCAGGTTGTGATCTGCGCTAAGTGCGAAGACAGATCAAATCATTATTTTTATTATTTTACTTTCCCAAGAAATCTTTTCCTTTTTTTGTCTTTTCTTTCATTTAAAACCAGGCGAAAATCTGTGAATTTACCGCCCATCACTCGGCCATTTTGAGCCTCGAAAGCTCGAAAGCTCGAAAGCTTTGAGCCTCGGCCTCGAAAAAAAATTGAGTAACTTCTCTGCCTTTTTTTGACCTTAAATTCTCCATTTATCCATAAAGTTTATCAATATAGACATCAATATAACTTTTAATTTACTATAAATACTATTTTCTTTTAAAGTACTATACGGAATTTTCAAGATTCTAGAAGTTATTGCTGCATTTTAGTCCACATAAACTTTCCCCCCATTTGGCATAATGAATCTCCACCCAAAAACCCTATTAGTTTATTTCTTTTTAGAAATTTGTTGGCCAAAAAGTAAATGAAAGTAAATGAAAGTAAATGAAAGTAAATGAAAGTAAATGAAAGTAAATGAAAGTAAATGAAAGTAAATGAAAGTAAAAGAAGATCACTGTCCTCAATGTGTCAAATGTTTTCTTTTCTTTTTCTTTTTTTTTCCAAATCAAGTCATCAAAATATCAATATTTTTGTGGTCGTCGAGTGCTTTTTCGTGTTTTTTTTTCTTGTTTTCGAGATGGTGCTTCTGTTTTTTCGTGTTTTTCCCCCTCCATCGAAAAAAATTAAATATATAAAATTTTGCGAAAACTTTTGATGTATCTATTCGAAAATTTGGAAATCATGAATGGAAATGGTGAAAAGATTTTTCGGGGAAGATGCTAGTTTCTCTAGTCTTCACAATATTAAAACTTTTTCTTCTTCCTTGTTTTGAGCTTTTCCAGAGATAAATTCAAATAGCGTTGAAGAAAGGGGAAGCTCAAAGGCTTCAGTTACCTTCAGTTACCTTGAGTTACCTTCAGCTACCTTCAGCTACCTTCAGCTACCTTCAGCTACCTTGAGTTACCTTGAGTTACCTTGAGTTACCTTGAGTTACCTTCAGCTACCTTCAGCTACCTTCAGCTACCTTGAGTTCCCTTCAGTGAACCTCTGCTCATGCCACAGACTAACAATCAGCTCATTTTCTTTTATAAACCATTAAAAAATCTTGATTTATATCTTTTTAACATTGTTTAACAAAGTCAAAAAGTTTTCTTTGCTTTTTATCGGCCTTTTCGTGTTCTGTGCATTAATTTTTAAAAAAAAAGTAAAGTAAAAGTAAAATTTAAAGTAAAATTCCAGTCATCTTCAATAAATTTTTGTAGAACTCTTTTCCAATGAGAAATGCTGAGAAAATCTTTTCCAAATGCCAGAATTTGGAATCGACTCCCGGGAGTTTTGAGAGAGTCATCTCTATGGCTCTATCTATGGAAAATTGCTCTATGGAGAGCTCTATGAAAAATTGATTTTTTTCCAAATTTTTCAAGTCTCGAAACCTTGAAATTATCTGTAGATGATCTTGCTCTTGAAGCTCTAGTGAATTCTTGACCTTATCTGTGCTACCCATATATTAAATACATATTTTATATATCGTGTTGCTTTTTATCGGCCCTTTTCGTGTTATGTGCTTTTTATCGGCCCTTAATCTTAAATCTAGCTCACTTTATTTCAAGTCCTCAATCAAGTATCTATATTTCAAAACAAGTAAATCTCCTTTCGAAAGTCTTTTAGTTTTTCTAAGCCTATAAGCCATTTTTGATGATAATTGATCGTCTTAAATCAAAATCTTTTTCTTCTTCCTCGTTTTGAGCTTTTCCAGAGATAAATTCAAATAACGTTCAAGAAAGGGGAAGCTCAAAGGCTTGAGTTACCTTGAGTTACCTTGAGTTACCTTGAGTTCCCTTCAGTGAACCTCTGCACATTCCACAGACTAACAATCAGCTCATTTTCTTTTATAAACCATTAAAAATCTCGATTTATATCTTTATTTTAACTTTATTTATCTTTTAAACATCAACTTTAATAATTAGAAGCTTTTCCTTTTCTTTACTCTCCAAAATCTCGAGTTACTTTCATCTATTTTTATCTCATGCTTGTGACACCTTGAGTTCAGCTTTTTTTTTGTTTTTATCTGAACACAAGACAAAAATAAATATGTAGATGTTCTAGAAATAGAAAGAAAAAAAGAAAAAAATATTAGAAGAAATATTAGATAGAAATGAGAGGGTGATAACATCGAGAAAATAAGGGTTCGGTCAGCTGATTGTTTCCTCCATTCCCCAGCCTCGACATCCCCTCATTCACTCTTTATTTACTTCTATTTCTTGGCTCAATCCTTTCTATCCATTGCCTTTATATCCTTTTCATTTCATTATTTAAATGATAGATTTTGTCATAAAGTGATCTTTTAAATACAAATCCTTTGAGCTCATTTGTCAGATCATTTTAAAGAACTTTCTTTTGAATAGTAGTGACTTAAAACCAATAGTGAACTTTAAAAAAAATAGTTTAGATCTACAGTACACCCATAATAAACGCATAGCTTTATTGGTTAAAAAAACGAGTAAGAAAATGATCGTACAGTCCATTAATCCAAAAGCCTATCCTAGTAACCTGATACAGTCTAAAGCTACAGTAAGCCAACGACCGAATAAGATTAAGAAGCATTAGGCTCTATAGTATTATAGAAAGCTATAGAAAGAAAGCTACATAGATAAAATACATAGCTACATAGATTATATTTAAATAATAGACTATCTTTTGGTGTTTGACAAACCGGTTAACGATTAGGGTCAAACCCTTGGAACTTGAAGGTCACGGTTTTAAAAGAAAACATACTAGCGGAACTGGAGAGGTTCACTTTTTTCCCATGCAATCTAACCCTCACCACTTTTTTTGCCAATGGTTTCGTACAGACGGACGAACAGACGTCTCTTCTGCTTTATATAGTAGATAGACATCTATCTAAAAACAGCCGAAAAACTCGAACGGTGGGTTTTTATGGCTTAATGTTCTGGGTAACAGATAGTCGCCGTAGCGCAGTCGGAACGCGCTTCTCTACAAGCCACACCACCCGGGTTCGACCCCCCTTGGAGCAACTGAATTTTGATTTTTTCATTTTTGATTTTAAATGACATAACTAAAAGATATTCTAAAGTTTTCTAAAGAAGTTTTACCTTTATTGGTTGAAACAAGACTAAGAAAATGATCGTACAGACAGACAAACAGGCAAACACTCCGCTTTTATATATTTAGTAGATTTTAAAGACATAGAGAATGAAGAGAAAGTTAAATATGAGAAAATTACTAAAGAAATCATCATCTAAACATTGTATTTGATATAGATGATATTATATAGATCATCTAAACTTGTCCAAAGATCTCTTTCAAACATCAAAATCCCTCAATACTTCAAAACTCAAGATTTGCTTTGAAAAGAAGCCAAGCCAAACTTTTGAACTCTCAATTTTACACATCCTTTTATTCTATAAAGTCATCTCTAAAAAAAGACTGAAATATGCAATTTAAGATTTCAAATTCATCATTATCCTGGGATATTTCTCATTTCAGAGCTCAGCTGATCCGCCAACTTGTCGGTCAACTCCCTCCCACTCTTTCTTTTTCACTAATCCCAAATATCCCTCTTCAAATTTCTTTTCTTATATCTAAATATGTGATATTTCCTTAATATTTTTTCTCTCAATCTCTTCAATTTCCCCTTTTACTTTTTCCGCCTCGAGACCCCGAGCTTTTTCTTGTTTATTTATCCGCCCGTTCCCTCCCGTGACTTCAAGAAAAAAATTTAACCAAATATAGCCTTTACTTTCTTTTATTTTATCTAAATTATTTTTAAAAAATTCGATAATTTTTATATAATTCATGTTTTCATATAAGTTTTCAACCATTTCAACCATTTCAACCATTTCAATCATTTCAATCATTTCAATCATTTAAACCATTTCAACCATTCCAACCATTTCAATCATTTCAATCATTTCAATCATTTCAATCATTTCAATCATTTCAATCATTTCAATCATTTCAACCATTTCAATCATTTCAATCATTTCAATCATTTCAACCATTTCAACCATTTCAATCATTCCAACCATTTAAACCATTTCAATCATTTCAATCATTTCAATCATTTCAACCATTTCAACCATTTAAACCATTTCAATCATTTCAACCATTTCAACCATTTCAATCATTTCAATCATTTAAACCATTTCAACCATTTCAATCATTTCAATCATTTCAATCATTTCAACCATTTCAAACTTTTCAAACCCTTTTACTCATTTGCAGAATGCCCACACTGAGGTTGCCGGCGTTTTTCCATCCGGCACAATCGAAAGAGGATCAAGTGAGCTAATTTATTGATATTGTTGATAGAAAAATTCAAATCTATTATAGAAAAGAAGAAAAAAGAAAGTATTTAAATTTTATCTATTTATCTTAATTTATCTATTTAAAGTATTTGAAAAAGTTGATTGTTTATCTGCAAAATGGGTTTTGAGAAACTCTTGAAAACTGCTGTTTTTGTGAATTTTCAAAGGCTTCAAAGGCGAGTACTCAAAACTTTTTTGATTCTTTTTTGATTCTTTTTTTGATTTTGACACTATTTAGCCACTTTCTTCAATACAAAATCATTTTTTGTACCAAAAATAAAGAGCTTATATGATTACAATTTTTTGAACTTAAAGAAAACGTTTCATCACTGACTTTAGACCCATTCTAGATGCATTCTAGAGTTATGCATCTAAAGTTTAGTCTCCACATAAACAAGTTGAAATCTCTGGCCTAGAGTAAAATGCAGCAAAGATTTAGATACTTATTTAGATACTATTTAGTGTTGTCTATGATAACTCTATGGAAAATTGATTTTTTCCAAATTCTCCAAGTCTCGAAACCTTGAAATTATCTGTAGATGATCTTGCTCTTGAAGCTCTAGTGAATTCTTGACGTTATCTGTGCTACCCAAATATTAAATACATTATGTCGTGTTGCTTTTTATCGGCCCTTTTCGTGTTATGTGCTTTTTATCGGTCCTTAATCTTAAATCTAGCTCGCTTTATTTCAAGTCCTCAATCAAGTATCTATATTTCAAAACAAGTAAATCTCCTTTCGAAAGTCTTTTAGTTTTTCTAAACCTATAAGCCATTTTTGATGATAATTGATCGTCTTAAATCAAAATCTTTTTCTTCTTCCTCGTTTTGAGCTTTTCCAGAGATAAATTCAAATAACGTTCAAGAAAGGGGAAGCTCAAAGGCTTCAGTTACCTTGAGTTACCTTTAGTTACCTTGAGTTACCTTTAGTTACCTTGAGTTACCTTTAGTTACCTTGAGTTACCTTTAGTTCCCTTTAGTTACCTTGAGTGAACCTCTGCTCATGCCACAGACTCACAATCAGCTCATTTTCTTTTATAAGCCATTAAAAAAATCTTTATTTATATCTTTTTAACATTGTTTAACAAAGTTAAAAAGTTTTTTTTTGCTTTTTATCGGTCTTTTCGTGTTATTTATATGAATTGATGTGTATGAATCTAATCTTAAATCTAGCTCCCTTTATTTCAAGTCCTGAATAAAGTATCTATATATCTATATTTGTAAAATTTGAAAACGATTCGCTCAGCTATTTTCTTTCTTATCAAAAATTTAGAAAAATGAGTTTTTTTCCGTGATTTAAACTTTCTCTCAAAAGCCATTTTATTAAAAAAAAATGATAGACTTTAAGATAATTTTTGAAGAAATTAAATAAAGAATTGTTTTTCATAAAAAGAAAAGTTTGAAGAATATTTGAAAAAACCTACCGTAAATACTGTAATTGGACCCCATGGGGGTACTATTTTTTCCCTGCCCCTCTAGGGTGGGGTACTATTAGAGGGGTGTAAATACTGTAATTGGACCCCACCCCTCTAATAGTACTGTAATAGTGCCCCACCCTAGAGGGGGAGGGAAAAAAAAATAGTACCCCATGGGGTTCAATTACATTACAGTATTTACGGTAATATATTAAAAGTATAGTGTTTAACGAACGCTGAGCAGATTTAAGCCTAGCTTAGCTAAAGTTTTCTTTCTACGAATTCTTTTATTGATAATTCAATAATTTCCCCAATAGTATTGTAGGTAATTGATTTACAAGATACTTAGCTATAGTAAAACAAAATTTCAGACAAAACTGGCTACAGTGTGCGAGAAAGAGTTGAGCATTGAGACAAGTCCGTATGGAGGATTTGGTTGTACGGGAGAGCACGATTCGAGAATGAAATGGAGTGTTTTTTTCAAATCACAGGTGAGATTTTTGGTTGATTGTTGATCTTGATTGATCATTTGCCTTAGAAGACTGATTTGATTACACTTGATTACAGACGGACTACAGTAGTCACTGTAGTCCGTCTGTAATCTAGGAAATATCCTAATGACATCACACATCGGCGCGAAAATGCGTTTTCTATCGGATTTTTCTGGGAGTACCTTTTTTAGATGCGGAAAATTGTGCTGATTCCGAATCTGAAGGAATTTTTCAAATCCCTCTAACAGAAAATTTTTTAAATTGAGTTTTAGCAGTTTTTTTGGTCATTTTGTATGGGAAATTTTGTGGTACCCTGCAGTTTGGGGCTCGTAACTCGACAACGAGGGGTCTAGAACCAAAAACGAAGGGATAACTTTTATTCTAGAGACTCTTACGAACATTTTGATGCAAAAATCATCAAATTTGCTCAACTCTACAAAAAGTTATAACATCTTTAATGCATCAGTGATGCATCAGTGAAAAGCTAGCTTCTATTTCAGCCAATCTACGCTCAATACTTTAAACTGTTGGTGTTATTCGTTTTCGCGTTGGCTCACGTCTTTTATATCACCGATTTCTTGGAGATTTTTCGAATATATGAGGAAACAGAAGTGAACGTTGACTCAAGGTAAAAGTTAGATGAGTGTTTGAAATAAGAAAAGAACTTTTTAGGTACCCGGGCACAGCGAATCAAGACGCGAATGGAGTCCGATTCGTTATGCATCTTCTTGTTGAGGTTTGGAGAATGATGAAGAAATCAGAATTTCAGCTATAGTTTTTTTCTTCGATATTAGGCAACACAAGATTTAGAATATCTAGTACTTTATTATGTCTAAAATCAAATAACAAAACTCTTCAGTACAAGAAGAACCTGTGGATGTCAGTGGCTGCGATGTGTGCCTCTCTGTCGGCCTCGTGTTTCTTCCTTTTGCTCATCAATGAGGACACGTGTTATCGCTTTTATTTGGTCTTGGTTAGTGGATCTGATCGAATACTTTTCTGGGTCTAAGCCTGGACCTAAGCCAAGACTTCTAGATCTAGATCTAGATCTTGAACAGGCTCTAGATCCTGAACAGGCTCTAGATCCTGAACAGACTCTAGATCCTGAACAGGCTCTAGATCCTGAACAGGCTCTAGATCCTGAACAGGCTCTAGATCCTGAACAGGCTCTAGATCCTGAACAGGCTCTAGATCTTGAACAGGCTCTAGATCCTGAACAGGCTCTAGATCTTGAACAGGCTCTAGATCCTGAACAGGCTCTAGATCCTGAACAGGCTCTAGATCTTGAACAGGCTCTAGATTTCAGCTTGATTCTAACCTAGCTGCTGATCTGGCTAGGTTCTAGGATCGTTGATAGATCTAGGGTAGTTGATAGATTTCTATAATCTATTTTTTCAGATGCGAATCCTCGACATTGTCTCATTTCTGTCACTTCCCCTTTTGTTAATCTTTCGAATCATGACCGTCGCACAACTGAATCGACATCTCAATCGGGTGCGTTTTAAAAACATTAAATATTTAACAGTTTTCTTGCCATTTTCGATTACATTTAGCAGGTCAATAACAATGAAACTCTAAAGGAAAACATTCAAATTTTATGAGTTCAAAAAAAACTTTTAAAAGTTGAAAGCAAACACTTTATGTTTTGCAGAAGTTTTACAAGAAAAGAAAAAGTAGGGGGGGCGAGAGGAATCGAACCTGAGAGAAAACAACTGCACTAGCTTGATAGCCTAACGCACTATTCCCTAGACCACCGCTGCTTTTTTAATGATATAGGCAGCGGTGATGATAGCGAGTACGAGGAGATACTCGAGATTTCTAAGCCTAACGCACTATTCCCTAGACCCTAGACCTACGGGCGTGGCATCCTCTTATAATAAAGGCGTTTGCCGTTTAAGTCTCTGGAACGTTCCCTTATTAGAGTCCAGCTGATCAGTCTAATGGCAAATTTTTCTGGCAAGAAGTAGTCTTGGCGTCGTCTTGGCGTACTTGGGAGCGCGCTTGACTGTAGAGCACACGCTCTGTAGTCAAGCTCAGGTTCGACTCCCCGTAGTGCCACTGGGTGTTTTTTTTCTTTTAAATCAAAGTACAGGTTCCTATTACAGCACTTATTCCCATGATTCAGGTGCTCGTCGGTCTTTCCCGTCTCAGCGACCCGTCAGTGCTGATGAATCGGTTGAAATGCAGCATAGAGGAACGCGAGAATGTAAGTGTACTTGATTTTTGGTTTATTTCGTTTACGATTTAAGAAAATAGATTATTAGATCTTTAAATTGTTAGTTCTTTAAATTGTTAGTTCTTTAAATTGTTAGTTCTTTAAATTGTTAGTTCTTTAATTTACGGTCTTCCATCTACTAATTTCAGCTTGTGCTGTGCTCGCTGGTGATCGAGCGTTCGATTTTCCCGGTGATCGTTCTCGAGTATCTCCTCGTACTCGCTATCATCACCGCTGCCTATATCGGACTTGCCTATTTGATCGTTTATTGTATCAAGCATTGGTTCCCACATCAACGGAAACCGTATCGTTCGGTCTCGCAGAGACTTTACGGACCTCTTGTGCAAGCTTAGATCTAGTTTTTCATTTCCTATTCCATGCCCCAAACTACCGTAGTCTTTTCCCAATAAAAACACAATGAAAAGTGCAATCCAGTGTCTCCGATTTGTGGCCAAAGGCGCGCCATGTGCAATATGTTTTTAGAAATTTTGAGAGAGCGCCAAGCTGCTCTCATGGCTCAGCTGGTAGCGCGCTCGGCTTTCAGTCGACCGCGTCCAGTCAAAGCTTGGGTTCAAGTCCGCTCCCGGTTTCTCTCTTTTGTAAAATCCCCTTTTGCCCCTTTCCTTGAATCCAGTGATATCCTTTTATCCCCCGTTTTTTAACTCCATCTCTTTTATGTGATTTTCCTCTGAGCGTCTTGTCGAACTCGTCACTGTTCTTTCTACAAAATCTAATTTATATTTCATTTTCTTCTACGGTTCCATGTGATCTGTTTGTGTGCGCTTTTCTGTCGCCAAAAAGCTTTATCCGATTTTGGGGGGAATGGAGGTCGAAGATCGACTCGAAGATTGCAAAAAAAAAAAATCACTTCTCGTAATCGATTCGAAGATTGCAAAGAAGTCAATCAATGAGCCAATCAATCAGCCATTTTTCCCCAAAAATCGGGCTCCTTTCCTGCAATAGATTATATGGTTAAGTGGGTTCTGAAAGTTCGCGTGTACTTTGTGGGCTGGAAACGCGCGGTATCCGGCGTACTTTGAACTGATTTATTTTCTAAAAGGTGCGCTAGAAAGTACGGTAACCCTGCTAGAATTGGGGTTTATTTGAACTATTTTAGAGTTATTGGAAAACTACGGTAGAAGGTTTACTGTAACTAAAGGTTTTCCTAATAAAAAGCAATAGAAATTACAAATAGTTAAGTGCTTTGGGTTACGGTAGAAGATCCAGAGCACGATAGTTTTTAAACGCACCTGTAGAAAAGAGCTATCTTGGTGAGCTACCGTTAGAGAGCTACCGTAACCTAGGCTGAATCTTGATGCGCCAAAGGCTCACGTTTACAAGCGCACAAAGTACTCACTAATCCAATAAACAGACCCATTTCCCGTACTCAAATCGAATCCGATTCTTCTCTTTATTTCTTTTTGTCTTTTCCAATTAGTCTCTTCGTCTTTCTTTTCTGAATTTTTTGTATTTTGTTTTGTTTTGTTTTGTTTTTGTTTTGTTTTGTTTTGTTTTGTTTTCTCGAGTGTCCTGCCAAAAAAAAAGAGAGTCCATCGCCCTAAATTTTTATTAATTTTTTTGGCAAAAATCCAAGGCACCTAGTGCAAAAATCCAAGGCAAAAATCCAAGGCCAAGGCAGTGCACTTGATCGACAAGTGTTTAATTAGTTTTCTGTTTAATTATCTTATGTTTTTCTTCTCACAAAAAGAAAACAGGGCGATTGGACCCGTCTCACTGTGTGCGCTGTGACGCGAAATGTCTTTGAAGTGTTTGAAAGAGAAAATTCTAATTTTCTAGTAATTTTGATTGAAATGAAACAAATTTTTGAATGAATTATCGAATTGTCGAATTTTAAAACGTAATTTGGCAAATTTTGTAATTATTTTGTAAATCATTTTGTAATCATTTCTGTTTGCTCGTTTTTTCTTTTTTATTTTCTGTTTTCTTTTTTATTTTCTGTGTCACGAGTGTGAAACACTCAATTCTCCCTTGTTAAATTGTTAAATTAAAGAAATTTTCAGTATTTAGCATTTAAATATCATTTTTTTAGCATTTAAATATCGTTTTTTAAATGTAAATTCGAATTTGATACAATTTGATAGTTTTAAATGCTATTTATCGAAAGATTTCTAGAAAATACCCGAAAAAAAACCCGCTTAAACGAGTCGGAGCAAAATTTTCGACATTTTTCGACAGTCAGCGACGACAGCGAGGCACGCTATTCGATTTTTCTACTAGCTAAAGCTGTTTCAAAGCATGAAATCCAATTCTCCCGCAAGCCCTTTTTTTAAGCTTCATTTTGATACTAAAAATGCCTAGGTTCTGTTTTGAAATTCTTTAAATTTCAATCATTTTAGATTTTTTTTCGACTCTTTAAGCTTATCAAATTCGGCGAAAGATTGAGGAGAGATTTAAGAAGAATTTCAAAAAAGAACCTAGCCATTTTTAGTATATATGTCGTAGCCGCTTACGAAATTCAGCCGCTAACGAATGATTCGTAATCGGCTAGCCGCTAACGAATGATTCGTTAGCTAACGTTTACGAAATTCAGCCGCTAACGGATGATTCGTTAGCGGCTGAATTTCGTAAGCGGCTACGACATATATATGTTGTGTCCGATTTAGATTTCCGTCCGATTTAGATTCAATCTAAATCGGACGTCCGATTTAAATTGAACTTATCGCGGACGTCCGATTTAGATTACAGTCTATATCGGACGTCCGATTTAGATTCAATCTAAATCTTATATAGATTGAACAATAATATAAACATGCTTAATATATGTTCTTAAGCGTTTTCTGTAGTTTTCTGCATTTTTCAAAGGTCTTTTATTGATTACAGTCTATATCGGACGTCCGATACAGATCGAACAATAATAAACGTGCTTAACATATGTTCTTTGAAAATTTCTTTGAAAAGCGCAGAAAATAGCAAAAAAACGCTTAAGAACATATATTAAGCACGTTTATTATTGTTCGATCTGTATCGGACGTCCGATATAGACTGTAATCTAAATCGGACGTCCGCGATAAGTTCAATCTAAATCGGACGTCCGATTTAGATTCAATCTAAATCGGACGGAAATCTAAATCGGACACAACATATATACATAAATACTTTATTCAGAAAGAAATAAAGTGCGAAAATGACATGAAAAAATGTACTGCATTTTAAATGTACTGCATTTTAAAATGTACTGCATTTTAAGATGACAAAGTCACTTAAAATGCAACGAAATAGCCCTTTTAAAATCAGACACGGTGGAGATCAAACGCAACTTGTCGGGAAGGGCATTAAATAAAATAAAATAAGTATCAAAATAAAGCTTAAAAGAGGAGCTTGCAGGAGAGCTGGCGTTTCATGCTTTAAAAGAGCTTTAGAACTGCTTTGAAAGGGATAATAGAGAAAGACTCGAGACTGTTATCGAGACTCGAGACTGTTATCTCCTTGCAGCTCATCAAAAACCCTCTTTGCACTATTTTTTCGATTCGGAATCGGCATAATCGTTTAATAGTTTTCAAAGTTTTTCTTTAATCTAAAGTGTTATGGAAATTTCTCTTTAAAAATCATTCAGCCGACACTTAAAAGGGGGGTATTAATCGCGGCCGGGTGACCATAAAATTTTTTTTACGCCAACCACCTGTTTTTTTATTTTAATTTTTTTTATTTGTATTGTTTTTTGTGCTTTTTATTTTGTTTTTAAATTTATCTGCAATTAAAACTCGATCGATCTAGACTGTGCTGAGGTGTCTGAGCGACGATCTTGTTTTTTTCCAAGCCTTGCAGCGTCTCCAAAAATTTGTAAACCCATCAAATCACTCTAGCCGGGTGATTTTTATTCTTTTTATAATTAAATCAGCGATATTAAAATAAAAAAACAGGTGGTTGGCGTAAAAAAAATTTTATGGTCACCCGGCCGCGATTAATACCCCCCCTTTAAATCCAAGCTGATCAAGAACGAAAAGATAAACCGAATTCCCTTTAAACAAAAAGATAAACTGAATTCCCTTTCCACAAAAATATAAACCGAATTCCCTTTCCACAAAAATATAAACCCAATCTCCCTTTACAAATCTTCAATATAATAAACGATTCTCTCACGTTTTGTATAATACTGCTGTCTTATTTTCTTTATTTTTAAATTTAAATCGAATCAATTGAATAGAAATGAGAAATCAATTGAATAGCTATGAGAAATCTTTCTATAAAAAAACTTCTTCAAAAAATTCAGTTCATTTTTATTAAATCTCAAAAATTTTTCATAAAATAAAGTAAAATCGAAACTTTTTTCTCATCATTTTTCTTTGAATTTACCGGTTTTTTTTTCTTCGTAATTTTATTTATTTACGTCATTTATTTATGTCATTTTTCTGTTCGCCATTATTTTTTTTTTGATTTTAATTTTTCCCTTTTTTTCTTTTCCTTTCTTTTCCTTTTGTCTCTTCTCGATTTGAAAATTGATTTCTGAATGTAAATTTAGATTTGTATAAAGTGTATATTAAAAAAACAAAAAAAAGCAAAAAAAAAACAAAAAAAAAAACAAAAACTTTAACAAATAGAGTAAAAATTTGAAAAAATGCATAATGTGCAGTGTGTGAGAGAATACCGATGGGGACAATGATTGTTAGATATTTAAATCAAAACATTAAATAAGATTCGACAGAAGAAAAGAGCCACTTTTCTGCACACATAAAATATTGTTTTGTATATAGTTTTAAAAGTATTCAGTGGAGAAGAATTGTCTTTTTTTTCCTTTAGAGAATTTCCAATTTAATCCCTAAAGCTATAAAGTTTTTTGAATTGCTTAAAGGCGTCATCTATTGAATCGAAAAAAAAAAAAAGAAACGACACCAATATAAGACTTTTTCTTTTGAGCAAAGCTACAGCTACAAAGCTATTCATTACACTGATCGATGTTCTTAAACTAGAACTAATAGGTTGATGCATAAGTGTTTTTGTTCCTTTTCGTCTGCCGTTTCAAGCCAACAAATGCACCAATTAAACTACGGTTTATTTCATTAGAAAAAGCAATTATTTTTCTGCAAAATAACATTAAAACGGGTTTAAAAATATGCCTGGATTTTTATGCCTGGATTTTCTTGAGAGTATGAAGTCGGGTAGTCAAAAAGGGCTAACTCGATGATGCGGTTTAGACACCTTAGCTAAAGAAAACCTATCTTCGTGTCAATAGATAAAAGATAGAGAAAAAAACGTTTGATATTTCACCAAAATTTCAGAGAAATTCATTCAGCCAATTTTTCCGTAGAGTTTTTTATAGATTTTTACGAAAAAGGCGTTTTTCACTCTCGAATTTGCTTCAAAGTGAACCGAAATTCATTTAAAAAGATGC